AGCCTACGTATCACCGGCTCAAAGCCATATAACTTTAATGTCCGAAATCGTAGAACAACGAAACCTGGTATGGGATCGAAACTCGGTCAGACAGATGAGGTGAGCCACTTGCGGTAATGCTATATGTACCTCCACTGTACTGAACCACTGACTTTTTGAGATCCCCATCCACCGAGTTTTGTGATCAGATAGTGAGCTGGTTCACTGAACTGCAGTCACCTATGGATTGGCATTGGGAGGGAGCGAGACGGCCGGAGCCATTCGCTGTGGGTGCAAAGAGCTCGACGAATATGTGGGTCAGACCGACAATTACACTGAAAGTAGGCGGTCCACTTTTCCTCAAAACCCGTTTACAGTTAACAACGGCAGATGCTGAGAAAGCACGACAAACACACAGAAACAAAGAAATTGGCAGCTCTCTTTGGCTCTCTTTCTATAATTTGCACAACTCTAGATTGCAAGATGGTCTGTAAAGTAACAATAGTGCATCACTCTCTTCCTTTCTCTTTGCAGAATGAAAGTAGTGCTCTTTCTTTCTCCAACTCTCTAGTTTAAAGCTCTTAAAATTGCCATTAAAGATAGAGAACAATAATAATAGTTTTTGTTAGCACTTGTGATGATTAAAATATAAATATTTATGTTTGCTGAAAATTTATCACTTTCCTTTTTTGAATTAGAAAAAAACATTAAAAGTAGATTCCACTCTCATTTTTCTCTTTTGCAATTGCACATTTTAACATTGCAATTTTCACTGTTATCGCCAGATCTCTCTCTCTCTCTCTCTCTCTGTTATATTAACAGCAGTTGCTCTCATTACAGCAAGAAAGCAGAGAGTGGAAGAAATGCGATCGCATTGCTATCTCTCTTTGACAACAGCGTTTGTGTGCTTGCTGTCCCCCTCTCAAGTGCAAACTTTTGCATTGCAATTGCAGAGAGAGAGGAGATGAGCTGCTGTTGCTCTCTTCTTGTAACGGAAGAACGCAGGCTATAAAAGCGGCGCATGCGCTGCGTGTTTTCCTCATTCGCGCAGCTGCACTCGAAAAGAACGGTTCATCCGGGTGTTAAGATCTTCCATATAGAGGAAAACCTACCTGAAATAGAAAACAGTGCCAAAATGACGGCCACAACGACGCAACGCAGCCTCTACATCACGAACGAGGTGAGTTCCTGCTTTGCCAAAAAAAGAAAACACAAACCCCCAAATCAAAGGCAAACAAATGGAATAAAATAATTTGTGAAGTCTGCCGCGGGCACTTTTGATTCCTGATTACGAGTCTACTTCTCGTTCTACTTGTGGTTCTGAATCTGATTTTGACTCTGATTCTGACGAGTGGCACTCCGAAACTGGCTGCTAATTAGTGCTGCCTCATTAAAAGCCGGCCCAAAGCGAACGAAACTGTTGCTCGGACACTCGAGACCGCTCTTCAGAAAAGCCGGAATGCCAGGGAAACCAGAGCAAAAAGTCGGGCAAACAAATCTGAATGCCCCGACTGCCTTGTAATTGCAAAACAAAAGCCCCATTTACGCCAGGTCAGAAGTTCCGGTCCAGGGCGAAAATACTATATCCAAATTAATAATCAATGAAAACAATTAGCGCGCGAAATGCGAAATGCTTTTCGGGAAAAACTCGTTCCATACACTTTGGCTGACGGCTAAAGGCTTATGGATCCCAGAGTGCTGGCGCAATATTGGATTTGAAATGATTAGAATAAATTAGTATTCATTTTCGCAAGCAAACAGCTGCCGGCCAAAAGCTTAAAGAAAGCAACAGTAAAACGCAAACAACAAATATCCAGATTTTTGAGTTACCCTGAGGGCTAAAACGGGCGAAAAGACGATGAAAACGGAGGCAGAAGCAAAATCAAATGCAAATTATAAAGAAATAATAATAATAATGTGGCTAATTAAGAGTGAAATTTCAGGAAATCAAATAAGTAGAAGGAAGAACAAAACGAAAAACCGGTCATTGGCAGCTGAGTGTAAAAGTGGCCAAAACAAAAAGGAAAATTCAATTATTCAAGAACCAACTTTTTCGATTTGGGTCAATTTTCTTTAAAAGGGGAAAAGGAAATTTTCATTTAAATTGACATAAATTTATACAATAAGTCAGCTAACAGTCACAATTAGTCAAATAATACATAATAATTTGGCTTATTACAAGTAAAGCTTCAGGAAGTAAAATACATAAGTAGATGAATAAAACGAAAAAGTCGTGGAGTGGAAAAGTGTTCAAAACAAAATTGAAAATTCAATTATTCGGGGAAAAACTTTTTGATTAAATAGGTCTTTTTCTTTAAAAGGGTAAAAGTTAACTTTCATATAATCTAATATAAATTTATGTAATTAATCAGGTTACAGTCACAATTAATTTGAATAATGATGATAAGGCTATAAATAAACCATAATAATATGGCTAATAGACTATAATCTATAATAATATAATAACTATTGAGCGACAGTTGACAAAATCAAATAACTATAAAGTACAACAAAACAAAAGCATGTGGAAACATAAAAAAAAAAAAAAATAACTAGCTTTATAATAATTATCTACCTAACTATTAATATAACTTTATTATAATTAATAACTAACTTTTCAATTTGAAAGGGGTAACCATTCATATAACTAGACAGAAAGTATCATAATACGACACATTATATAAATGATTTATGATAGTATAACTCACTTATGGATATTACTTCTTAATAGTTATTATTTTAAGTATTAAATCTCTTAACCACTGACAGTCATCAATCAAGAAACGCTTCAGATTTCAGGTGGCTTTAAATAGAATTCGGGCGGGCAGGTGAGCGAACTGCTGCGGTTAGCTCATTAGCAAAGTTAAATGAGATTGTGTAAGGCCCTCGCCCACTAATATGCAACCGAAACTATAATTAAGCTCGAGCGACTGAAGAAGGCGCCAATTGCCACCCCCAAATGGGCGGCGGCCCAGTTTGTTGGCAAAGTAATTAACGTTTATTGGTTGAGGACAAACAAGAAGTTCGTGGGCTGCTTATTTTCGTAAATTCAATCTTCTTTTCGAAATGAGTAGGTCTGCTTAAACATATGTGGTTCCTGTCATAAGGCCACGCCCCATCAAAATCTGCGCCTCTGTTTGTTTGCCCGCGCGCTTAGACTTTTGTTTGTTGGCCCAATATTTACACGACAATTTTTGAGCAAGAATAACAGAAAGATTTTTGCGCGCCCAAGTCAACAGCGAAAGACGAAAGACCCACAGACGTATTACACTATCGATGGCAACAATTACCAGACATCGGGGCGTATGCGTGATATGTCGACGAGCCGTATCACGCATACGCCTCGTATGCAAACGGAAACTGCTTGGCCCGCAAATGTGTTTTTTCTTCTGTTTATTTCTGTTTTTTTTTTCCTTCTTTTTGGCCCAGTCTGCAGTCCGGCTGACCGTAATTCAACTTGGCCAGCTGCAAACAGATTCAATTTGCATTGCGAAATGCAAATGCATTGGTCAGAACGAAATCCCACAGTCAGGTCTGCATTCGGCCAACTACTTCTGCCCTTTTATTTTGTGGCATTGGTTCGGTTTTTGTCATGCAAATGGAATCTCACATTCTTACGCACAATTCACCCAGTAAGAGGTTCTACTGGTTGATTGGTGTGTGGCCTCTTGTGTAAATCAGAAAAAAGATCTTGAGACCTGGCCCTGTAATTTATATTTGTTGGAAATAGTTTCCTTGTATTATTAATTGCACATTCGTTACTTTACTTGGCTCAAAGCCCCTTAATTTGGTTTAAATTGCTGGCATTTTCGTTTTGTGAGCCCATGTGTATTTGCATTGTAAATGGTCACAAAAATGTGATAATTGTATGGAATATATTTGCAACTTTCAATAAATTTTCCCCCACACTCGACTTAAATACATAGTTGCTGAATAGATTTCTAGAATACATTTGTAAGCATTTAAAGAGTAAATAAATAAATGTGGGACAAATATGAATTCCGATTGGTATGCGCATGATTTTAGGCTAACAGAATATGAAATGATTATTTTCTTTGGCCAAAAAAAAGAGACTCTATTTCAATATTTCAACTTTAGTGAACAACGAAACCCTTGTTAAATTGTTAGTCGGCGCTTTTTTAAGTTTTCAAGTACGCAGCTAACAGAATCTTTTTAGCCAACTAGGGTCAGGGCTGAGATTTGTTTAACTATTTGTTTAATTAAGCGGCTGCATTTGTGTCAGGGCTGCCGCAGAATCTGCGGCGTCTCGGGGCGTTTAAAAATGTTCGCTTAAATGCTTTTCGAGTAACAATTAGACAACAGCAATTGCAGGGTTAACTGCCGACCCCTTCGGACCCCCTAAAACCAAAGTCATGGAGTGTCATGGCCCGCTGGACTTGCTTTTCTGACCTGCTCTGCACTTGCTTTTTTATGTTTCCATTTTTGATTGCCCCCAGACAGCAAAGCAAACACAGACGTCCATTGATGGATATATTTTCGTAACTAAATGCGGGCTCACAGTCCGTTGGATTTTGGATTTTAGTTAGGTTTTTGGCTGTGAACCTTTCGCCTTGGACGGCTGGCTTTCGAAATACTTGGGGCCGGGAAAATTCACTCACTGCCAAGTGGAAAAACTCGATGCATCCAGCTGAAAACTGGTTGCCTGGCCTTGGTCTAATCCACATTTCAGAACCTCCAGCCAGCCAGCCAGTCAGCCAGCCAGCCAGCAACAGGCAGCAGATTCTGTCTCGGATCTCGACTGGGGTTTCCAAACTTGATACTCGACCGTTTGGCCTACGTTTTAGCCATGGCTGTTGGCCAGAACGAAAATGCATTGCTGCAACTTGACTTTGCCATCGCAATCACAACGCTTTGGACCGCAGCACACCAAACAAGTGGCGTTCAAGTGCGGATTGCCAAGATCAATGTGTCGACAGCATGAGTTTCAACAATGATGTATAGTTTCATCTCCAGTGGTTGCATCTCCTTTAATAATCTCTATTGTTTTTGTCTTCTTTTAGATTATCATCACCGCCATGGACCGATTCGTTTGGTTTGTCCTCCTGGTGGTCACGACGCACCTGGTCACCGAGTTTACCCGCGTCTCCGGATACGCAAGGGGCCAGCGCCACGAGTTGGTGCTGATGAATGATGTAAGTACCCAAAAACCTGATTGGGCGCCAGTTGACTGACAGGCTGACCCGCTGAATAAACATCTGCGGAATTCATCAAAATTGTCTAGTTTTTCATATTGAAAAGGATTAGTTTAAAATCATTCAGAAAAAAATTATGCATTTAAATTTATAAGCTCCATCCACTCAAAAAAATATTTGATGTTGATTTCAGAAATTTTGACTTCATAGTGATTTCTTCTATAAATAAGAGTTATCTACTCGTTAGCAAAATATTTTTCAAGCATTTGCTTTACAAACAAAAACAAAAAAAAAATTAACATCGTCTTCCAATTTTTAAAATTCAGTACGATTACTTTTTGAGTGTACCTACATTATGAATTCTACAAATTTTATTCTTTAAGCAAGCAATTACTAATTAGATTCCGTATACTTAAAGAGAAATCAGTATATTTCTGAAGGCGAACGATACATTTTAAGATGTATATTTTGAAAAACCTTATTTGTATTTTAAAAACAATTTTTAATTTAATTTTTTGTTAAAAGAAATGTTTTCTGAGACTTAAACTGTAAATTATGATATGTGATATTTTTTAAATGTGTATGTATTAATCATTTTTTAAGGACATAATGCACTAGTTTCAAGGAATTTTGAGAAATACATTTTTTTAATAAGAATTTTTTTTTAATTTATCTATAATTCATAACTTTTAAAATTCTTTTTATGTGTAGAATGAGCTGAAATTGTTTAACTCATAGCTGTTGACTAATTTTGTCGTTTGATTAACATTCTGATGACCTTTTCAGACCCTGCTGCAGCCGATGCCCGTCCAGAACATGGTGTTGTATCCCAACCAGGATTACGGGCAGTACCAGCAGCGTCCCTCCTCCGCCTCCTCATCCTCCTCCTCCGCGGGATCCATGAGCAGCCTGCAGCACAATGCGGCCCTGCTGCTGAGCAGCTTGGCGGCGGGAATGAGTCCGGGAAATGGAGCAGCTGCAGCGGGAACAGCGGTGCCCGGGAGCAACGCGGCCATTTTGTCCCTGGGCGACAGCCAACCGGCTCATGCAACCGAAAACGTGTACCCAATGTTCAGTTTGCGACCCCTGATCGACAGCATTTTCGAGGTGAGTTCACACAATTTGCCGGAGGCAGTGTAGTCTGTCATGAAATCCATGTTCCACAATGATTCATCCAAATTTCCCACAGATTCCGATTTCGACGCTGCGCGCTGTCAACAATTTGGTGGGTCGATTGACCGGAGGTTATCGCCAGGCCCCCACGGAAATGTCACAGAAATCCGTGGCAGCAGGTACTGCCCTACCATCCGGCAGACAAAATCCCACTCTAACTGCCCATCCCAGTCCACATCATCAAATGAGGGAGGAGATGGCGTAATTTAAGGCCCCATATTTAGTCAGTAATTGAATGAATGTTGTAATTTCTGTCAGTGTATGTTTCAGTGTGTGTTTTTCGTGTGCATTTTGACCTTTGTGATATATGTGACCTTGCTGTAAGCCTAGATTAAGTATATTTATGTCAATACAGATGAAAATCCAAAAAAAAAATCGTTAGTTTATGGAATAAATGTAACACCTACAAAACCGTAGCATATGACATTTTTCCAATGTGTTGTGGGTTAAATTATTGTGGAGTAAAATAAAAATACAAAATAAATAAATAAAATACAATTGGTTTTAAATACTTCTCCTTGTTTTTTCAAGTGGGGAAAGGTTTTTGTTCATATGAAACAATTGCAAGTTGTACATAGGCCTTACAAAAAAATGTTATGAAATCAAATAATACAAAAAAAAAGAACTTTCAACATTTAAGCACAAAAAAACCCTTACTTAATACTTATTTGAACACTATAGTTGAAAATAAACACATCAACATTTTTTAGTTTAATCGTCGGGGTTTTTTAAATATCTTGTGTTCATTTTGTTTTTGTTTAATAGTCCATGTCCTATAAATTCCTTAAAAAATTCCCTACACCCACAGCATATCATTGAATTAAATATGTTTTTGTTCCAATGAGACAAAAGTAACATGGTTACAAACTTAACATGAATTGTATATATGGACAGCCCCAAAGCCCTCAATAAAATATTTACACTGCCCAGTTTTTTTTTTAGCTTGTTGCAAAGTAAAAACCGTGCATACTTTTAGGGTGGGTAATAATATTTTTAATCCGATGTGAGTGTGTAAATATGTCAATTAAAAAATTCAGTTATTTCATTGATGCAAATGGAACTCAATTATAAATAATTTTTTGTATATTTGGGGATTTGCGCAAATATTATGACCCATTGATGGGTCAATAAACGCATATCAGCGAATTGACAAAAAGCACTTCCCCATTTAAAGATCATAACAAAAAGGTTATCAGCAAAGAGCGATGGCACTTCCTGGGATGCAAATACTGTAAATTAATTGAATTAATTTAATGAGATTTCCATTTTTCAAATGGGAAAAGTTCTCGCGTAATTAAAGCAGAAAAAAACAGATAACAAAAAGAACATCAAGTGATTTTGTCGACGAGAAAACCTCCTATTTCCCAAGGTAATCATGCGTGATTTAAGGGACCAGAGCAAAGCCAACCGGCAATGAATCGAATTTAATTATATTTTCTTTTTGGACCCTTTTCGCTGGCATTTGATTTCGGACATCGCATTCTAAATTATCCAGCACGTGCGCTGCGGATTTGGCCAAAAAATCGAAGCCAGAGGCAAAGGCACATTAACGCAAGCGGCTCTGTTTGTCATTTGAATACCTAATGAACAAATCGCCGGGACAAAAGAAGAGTCTTAAATTGGGAATGGATGGTTGGCAGAGTCGAAAATCAGCGGAGGGAATTAGAGAAACCTCAAAAGAGAAACACATCTATAATGGAAACTTTGGCTTAAAAAAAAGAACCCCCCACCATTCGAAACTTATTAATTTGTCCGGCTGCAATTGGCAAACCCAATTTGCCTGCAGCTCCGTTGAAGCGTAGACGAAAATAAAACCAAAACCGAATTTATGGCCAAATTCAGTCAATTGCACACCACTTTTAAGCCAACAAAAAGTGGACGGAAAAGGGGCGGGAATCCAAAAAAACCGGTTTGCCAATATTCGCCAAATCGGATGCACTTAATGGGGCCTATGAGTAATGTAGTAGTTCTACAACCATTGTTTGATTCTGTAATGCCGAGTTATGCATGGCAAATCGGAGATTAAAATAGATTATCTCTGAGGGTTAATCGATTTTTCATGGCTATGAACCTGGTATTTACCATACTAGTATAATTATTTGTATGGATTTCTGATTAGCTACGAAAAACGCTTCTTAAGACCTGATATATTATTGATTTTTGGTCTTTATGTTTATTTATGCTGTATGAAACCTTTTAGCTTTCTAATTTATGGAATTTTGTAAGAAAAGTGTTTATAAGTATTAGTATTGATTTGCTAAGACATAGAGTTCTTAAGAACTTAGGTATTTGTTAGCTTTCTAATTTAGAAATTAAACCATTTCTTATTAACATTCTTGATACAAAGGTGATATGTTTTACTTAAATTTTTAAATAAATTGTATTTTATCCAAATTAGGAAGTATTTTGCTTCTGAGAACAACAAATAATACCCCTAAAAAAGTGAATTTCGTTTCACAGCCCAGAACTTTGTTAGTTTATCATATTTTCCAATGCTGAACCCCAAAAACATACCACTGACCACAGAAACCCAGCTAGTCCGTCATGTCTGAGTTGTTACCAAATTCTCACCGAGCTGTTAGGACAGGTGCCGGCGAAGTGCTAATAGGTCGCCGAAACAAAGTATATTTCCAAAAATCTTGCATCATCATTGCAGTGTCCAGAGTTCCCCGAGTAGATCAGCGTTCGAAGATAATGGCCTATAGTATGTAAGAAGAAAGAGGAAGCGACCAGAATCAAGTGCGGCTCCTATATAAACACAAGCTTGCATATGAAATTGCGACACAATTCCAGTTTTGCAAAGCATTACAAGCCGCAGACAGTAGACAACAGACATCACATATCAGACGGTGGATTCCATTCCCCTGGGCAGAATTCAAGTTTAAGCCCGGCTCAAACCACTCGACCACTCAGTTCAAAACGAAATCGCGACGCGACAACAACGGCCGCTCGGACTAGAGGAATAAAATATATATAAAAACAAAGCAATAAAAAAACGGAAAGAATCTAGGTATAACAAAGAGCTCCCTGTTAATTAATCAGAAAAGTTGAATTGGCATGTGAAAGCCCCGCAATTATGCTCGGCCACTCCCCTTCTAAAAGTGCGAGGAAGAATTCTTCGGGACGCGATGCGCATACGAAACGAATCTGGAACTGATTCCCACTTTGGATTTTGTTTTCCAGGTGCCGCAGAATGTTCGTCTTACTTGGAGTGCTCTGTCTGCTGCAGACAGCTAGCTTGGTGCCCGCCCAGGTGAGTCCTCCCCACAACGATTGCCATTCCGATTCCGGTTCCCAAAATTAATTAAGGCAGTCGCCGACTGACACCTGCCACCAGGCCAAAACGCATTGTTGGCCAAAAACTCCGCCAAGGGCCAAGTGCTGCGGCCCGAAATTATTTTAATTACTTCGCAGCCGAGCTGCTTTATGTGTTTTGGCCCGATTTACGTTTATTGGGTGACCAAACTCCTGAATAAATAAATCCAAACGCAGCTGACTCACTGAAATCCCATCAGCCAGATGAAATTCTCGTCACTAATTGTCAGTGAATTCATTAACTTGATTAATAGATCAATCGATGAATTGCATTTCCTGTCGCTCAAGTGGATAAAGAAATGTTATATGGACATACAATGATTTTTTACAGAAAAAGTATATTTACAAATTTAAAGATATATATTTGTATACACTTGAAAAAATTGTAATATCAATTTCCTGTGGTATATTTTTTACTTATCATTTTTACCAATGAAGATTGTAAATATTATATTCGATTTCCTTTCCTTGAATTATTTCTAAAATGGAAAAAGAGCGTAAATGCGACTAGTGCCTAAAATAACTTTGGTTATGTTTTAAAACGTGCAATAAATTAAAATTATTTCATTGTAATACTTTGTTAAAAATAAATGCAATTGGTCTTTAATTTGATTGGCAACAATTATGTTCTATTGTATTAAACAAATTAAGTAAAGCAAACAAGTTAAGTAGACATGTAGCTTTCTAAATATCAACAACATAATTAATTTTAAAATATTTAAACATAAAATATATGTATCAATTATTTTATTTAACTATGTCTGAGAATAAGCGAACAATTAAATATTTATTGCATTTGGTTTTAAAATGTATATTCAGATATACTAATTAGTTTGGATACATTGTTGTGAAATGGTATTCATTATTTCATGAAATACCCCATTCCAAGTAATTCCTGTGCAACCCAAAAAAACCTCAGTCTCAATTCCTGGCATTAGGAAAATTAAATTCATTAGATTTCCGCAGGATAAACAATTTTACCCCGTTGAGTGCTGCCCACCGCAAAATCGAAATTTGCATTAGAGCCGCTGGGCATCATTGTCGTGACGCGGAAATCAATGTCATTTTATTTTAGTGGTGGTCCTTGGCCACAAAATTAAGGCAAAAGGCGAAAGTGCAACATTCGATTTTCTGAACTTTTGTCAAGGCCTAAACCGTTGCACAATGTCCGTTTGGTAATGAAGAATTTTTAGTACCCGCTTTCGCAAACACACCAGACCTTTAATTGCAGGCCAAGGCAAATGCTTAGTCGGATTTTTTACCTGGCATTACCTGGATTTTACCCGCAATTACTTGGCAACACCACTTTGCTTATCATCAATCTTGGTTTCACGAGCCGCGACCAACTATTATACATCATTTTAACAACTGCCGCTGGTTTAGTGGCCACCTTGAACTTTGACTGCCTGGGCTAACTAATATCAATTTAATTGCATTTTTCACCACCGATTACTCATACGCAGTGTTGCACACGAGTTGCAGGAAAGCTAAAGTATATAGTCGGCATTTTATGGTAATTTAAGGTTGCAAGCGGAAATATCATAAATATACCGTGTTTAATGGTTTATATTTCATTAGTTTTTGTGCGCTTATAAGAGGTAATTTTTGTTTTATTTGGTAGTTTTGCTTTATGATCTATTTCGTGGTTATTATTAGACTTTGGATTATGTACAAAATGGTATTTTAAACGAAATTAGTTCAGATAACATGTATTTTTGTTTTATTATTCGTTTAAGCTTCTACCTTATTATGAATATTGGCTAAAATTGTATGTTTAATCAAAGTTTCTTTTGAATCAAAAGTTTAGAATGCGGTTTTGCAAACAATATCAGATCTTTACGCCTTTTTCTTTTCAAGTACAAATTGAGTAAATCAACCAATGAAAACTTCATTCACAGACCACAGATGTAAAAATAAATTTAAAGTCTCACTTTTCATAGGACTTTAATCTTTTCTTTTTGTGGTTCCTTGAGTAGCTTTGCCATTTCATGTTATTTTAGCTGAAGTTTAAGCATTTGACAACTTTAAGGAGAACTCATTTGACCAAAGGAATTTTCACACATCTTGCCGCAAAACTTATTTCGTCAGTACACTTTTCACCCTCGAGCAGCCCTTTTTTATTGTATTCTTTCATTGAGATTCTTTCTGACAGAAAAGTTTATTTCTGTTTGCGGCTTGAGGGCTGCGTGGAATTAGATTTTAATCAACGCATGCATGAAATTTGCATTTGCATTTGCCAGCTAAGTGGAAAAAACCCCAAATAATTTTTTGTTTATGTTCTGCGCGGGTCGTGGGAATTGAAATTAAGGGAGCACGTAAAAAGTGCTGAGAAGGGTTTACCGCCCGGCCAAAAGAAGGTTACAATTTGCGGCAGCCATTCCCTGGAATTCATGCAAATTACTAGCCATTCATTCCTTTTCGCAGGCTCGCTCAAGAAATCCTTTCACTTCTTTCTCTATCTTTGTGGGTCATGACCCGAGCTTATGAATTTTTGGAAACCCCTGGCGGCAATCTTTAATCTTTCCTTTGGCGAACACAATTGTGAAACTTTACTGTCAACTTAAATTAGCCAAACACAATTGTGGTATTTTACTGTCAACTCGAAACGGCCATTTCGCGATCTTTATCTGGAAAATGGATGTTCTGCAAATATGGAAAATGGCAAATGAAAACATTCACTACTAGATTGTGGACAGGTAAATACATTTAAATTGTTCCGGGCAAATATTGAACAAAGGAAACAAAAGTTCTGCTTTTTGTTTGGCTAAATGAATTTGCTCAATAATATATTCAGTTGTTTACAGAGAGGTAAAATAATTCAATTATTTAGTTAATTTACCCACCTAGTTTGCCAGTAAAACACAAAAACTTTTTGCTGGCTTACAGCTGAAAAACGAGATGCGTTTCATAAAACATTGTTTTTGTTTTGAAGGAAACTTTTTAATTTCCACTGACATGCTGCGTTTTCATTTAATAGAGTGGATTTACTTTTGGCATTTCATATTTTTTGTCTGTTAGAAGTGTTTTTATCATTTCGAATTAAGATAAGTATGTAGATTGATATAAGATAAGCTTTAAACCACTTACGTTGCACATACTTGCAATGGAAAAGGAGCTTTTTGGGGATAAGCTGAATTGCAGTTTTGAGAAAAAGAGAAAAAGAAAGGGTGATATAGATAGATATTACTGGCTTCCAACAACTTACATAGTTGTCTGCCTCATTTCCATAGAATTATAAAAACCCGACAGCCTTTAAACGACGTTCAAACTTCACAGCCACTCGCAACTTTTCAGTTTTAATATTATTACCAGGGCCAGTTACAAAGTTTTCAGTCGAAAGAGCTACCAAAATTGTTTTTTACGACAGTATAACATGTTATACTACTATATATTATGTCATTCTATTTATGTATGTATTGTTTGTTTATAATATCTCAATGACTAAAAGTTAACAATGTTATTACAGCTTCTTAATTCAATAATCCATATTATCTTAAGCAATGAAAACAATAATAACAAAGTTATGTCATACTAAATCTGTATCGTATGTACACAATTTCTTCATGATTAAAGCTTATCGTTACTATTAAGGCTTTGTATTTGTCTTAAGCAACTAATGCAATATTTAAAGGTTGATTTCACTCAAGATAGTAATAAATAAAGGCTGGCGTGGGAATTTCAGTGTCATTGATGATAACTGTGTACTTGCAATTCTAGATAAAGGTCTACTTACATATATATAAATAAATTGTGAAGTTTTAGAGTGAATTTATATACAGAAACAATAAAATAAAATAGGAAAGTGTGTTCAATAATATTTAAAAGTAAATTGGTATGGCTAAAAATTTATTTTTAAGGATATGTAAGGGTAATATATGTATAAAATATACAGGCTAAAATAGCAGATTTATTATTAAGCCACTAAGAGTTCTCCAAATTAAATCATTACAAAGAACTATACACTTTCTCAGTACTTTTGGCTTGCACAGCTGAAAGTTCTTGGCAGGTTTTATACTAATTAATATTTACAATGCCTGGAATGCTCTCTCTAATAAGATAACATAGACATAACATAGACATCCTATAGGTCCACTCCATAGATGGACACCTCGAGGTGAGCTGGTTCTGGGTTCTCTTCCTTGGCTTCTTGATTTCTCTGGGAATGAAGAACCACAAACTCCTGGCCAATGCCGCCTGCTGTGAGTAAAGCCTCTGTCCCACCGCTCAGATCCTCGACATGAATACCCGTAATTCGGTAGTTATCGCTGGCATTCTGTCGAGGATTCCCAAGGAGATTAAGCAATTTGTAGGCCAAGGGGCCTGATATAAATCTCACCTGCGAGCCGTAGACGATATCTTGGCCCGGGGAATCCGGCGCTAGGTAAACATCTTCGGTGTGGAGGACGCTGGCGTATTTGTTGACATGTCCCCAGGTGACGGAGGCGGCTTCGCCGAGCAACACCTGGCCAGGCAGCAGGAGCAAACACACTGGAAGCCACATCCAAAACATCGCTGGCCACCGCCGACGGCCTTTCGATTCCCCGTCCCTCGCTTTTGTCAACATGACAACATGTGTTTCCCTCACTACTGGACTTGGATTCTGATTTTGATGATGATTCTGATTCTGATGATGGTTCTTCTTCTGATGATGATTCTGATTCTGACTCCTCCACCTTGTAAGACAGCACCTCCTCCTCTTCGTCAAGTCGGCGTGAGAAACTAAAATGAGCAGCCGTTAGGAGGCCAAGTTAAATATTGTCGTTCTGTCTGCCTGGAAAAACTCTTATCAGAGACAGGTGTGGTAGTCTCTCTCGCTCTCATTTGCACGGGGCCATTTACATTATTGTCACACTTTTGGTACCCTAACTTAGGGGAGTATGGAAAAAGTGGTAAACATGTCAAAGATCCAAAAACTATTACAAAATTCCGACTCTCAATGGTTATCAGACCTAAAATTGAGTTTCTTTTTGATAATAGATCATAGATTATAAACAAAGTAATGGATTAAAAAACTCCAGTATAGACCAAGATATTTTTCACTGCCTACTCTTAGGTACCTTTATATAATATATATAACAAATTAATCACTGGAGTTGAAAAATCACTTTTAAAAGCGCCTAAAGTATGCCACAATGTTTATTACACTTTTTTTCAATGTATACTTTTAGACACTTTTATAATTGTTTTTGTAACCTTAGTGATTAACTTATTAAAATAAGAAATGATGCAACAAGTTTTTTTTCCTTTGAAATAAGAAATGTGGTCTTTATAAGCTGGTAACTAAAGCTAGGTGATCACAACAACGTTTTTTTATTATATAGTAATGTTTATTCCGAAGAGGTTAAGACCTAGAGCATTTATATGTCGCCAAGGCACTATGAAAACCTCACCACATTTTGTTTATTTGGGTTTGTTGAGCTAGCTGTTAACTGTCACAATTATTGATAACTTCTTTGGAGCTCGCTCTCGGCTCTCATTATTGAAGTTGTACTATCTAGCTCAACGGCACTCTCCCAATAACATTCCTTATCACTGGATCGGTGTTTTGTAGCCTGGTGTTATGCCAGCTTATCTTTAGCTCCTAACATTTTAATTTTTTTGTTTCTCTCCGATGACGGCTGAACAAACTGTGCAAACATTTATCAACAATTTAGAACTGACAGAATATCTGCGCCACGAAACTTTCGACCTTCACCGATTTGAGCCGTTGAGAAATTCCGCTTAAATTGATTAACACACAGAGCAACACAACGCAACAGACAAAATATTTACAAAACTTAGTTAGGCGGGCACAAAGGGTGTTTGCCTGCTTTTACCAGGCCAGGCCAAAAGTTGGGCCACAACTTTGCAACTATTAGTGAAAAGGGCGGACAAAACATCTTGGGCCAAAAAGTTTCCGGGGTGGGCCCAAAATTGGAACTTTGAATAGCATTAAGTATACGCAACGTGGCCAGAACTTTGTGCTAAAGCTCTCACACATTTTCATATTGCCAACCGCCATCCTGTGCAGCTGATTACACTGCGCGATGGAAAGGTGGGCGTGAATTTTGCAGGATTTCACGCGGACGCGGGACTCGGAGGACTCCTCACAGGAAACTCTGCCCACGGCGGACTCAGCGCCTCGGCCGGAACTCCATGGGGTTCCCGGGCAGCCGCGGGTCTGGGCGGCAATCTGGATGGTAAGTGGCGGAACCTTCCCCCCCAAATTGATTCAATTTACGCACTCTGTGACCCAATCCACTTCCTTTCCCCCAGGACGAGCCGCCGGTGTGGGCTATGCCGCCGCCCAGGCCAATCCTTCCGTGGGGGCCAGTGCTCTTCTGGGTGGCAGCGCCGGGGAACATGGCTATATCGGTGCCGAGGCCCACAGTCCGGGAAGGAGTGTGATCTCCTCATCCTCCTCGAATCACGGTGTCCAGCCAGCTCATCCTGAAAATCCTGTGCCCGCTTCGCCCACTTATGGTCCTGTCGTCACCAGCCACATCCAGAGGGTCAAGCCACCCAAGAAGTACTCGCTGATCAAACAAGATGTAAGTAAAAATAATATAATATAATATCTTAATATATACAGAACATGTAGCATTGATTTCCATAATTCATTTGGATTTATATAAAAGGATTCGGAATAAATTGACGAAAATAGTTAAGCTCTTTATAGAATAGGCTCTTATTTTTGGGATTTTTAAAGGACAAACAAATTCTAACATTCAAATAAAATATAAATGGTTTTGAGGTTATGCAATGAAAGATTATGAAAGATTTTTAGAGCTAAAGTTAAACTCATAAAACTGTGATTTTTATTATACTACCTATGATGATAATGGTATTCGGACTTTAACCAAGTAAACCCACATTTGTAATCATAGCCGCATTCATTTTTATGCATTTCAAACTATTTTTAATGAGTTCTCAAGAAAGGTAACCAAATGCCAGCTAGTTTTAACTTTTACCACCAGTCTACCTATAATTTGCGATAACTTTAACAGGCGGCACTTCCCTGTCAAAAATAGAAAAGAGCTCCAAAAGGTATTCGTAAATTTTGCAAAATTCTTAAGGAACTTCAGAAACTATTAAAAGTGTTTTGCCCAACAGCTTTAAACAGCAGTTTGAGTCGAAAAGTTGTTAAAAAGATTTTTGAAATGTGCAGCTATCTCATTTTAAGCGAAACTTTGGTAGGGCAAATTAAAGGGAAATCGACGCTAGAATGGGTATTCAATTGCGCAATTCCGGGCAATAAATCCCAGACTAGTATTTAACTAGAACATGCGGTTAAATATTGATCAATGCCCTCGTGTCGGCGAACCAACAACAAGCAATCAATCCAATCCAACCGAATCGAATCGAATCCAATCCTATCGTATCCACCCGCCATTGATGTTTTAGCCGGACCGCAGCGAAATCATTGAAAATCATGTTAAAGCGGCCGCAGATGCCGATGGCGATGCGGTGGATAAACACCAGCCCTTGGCTTTTCCGGAATTTCCGGCTGCCCCGCCCACTGCGCTGGTAATTGTCAAGCGACCACGCCCACATGCAAAGCGACAACGTCAGCGGCAACGTGTCGTATACGTGATGCAGCAGCAGCAGCAGCAGCCGCAGGAGCAACAAATTCCAGAGGAGGCTGCCCAAAAGGATGAGCCCCAGTCGACCGTTGAGGTAACACCAACTGCGGTGCGGACATAGATACACGGCTACAGATACACAATCACACAGATACTCGCTTGCACACACACACACACACACACACACACACCCAGTGGCACACGAACAATTTGTTGGCTTTTCGGTGGAGAGCTGGATACCAAAACTTTCGCTTTGAGGCTGTAATTTTATTTGAAAACATTTGCGGACAATGTGAGGCGGTGGCTGGAGGCGGGACCACCTGCTGCATTATTATTTCTGTGAAATATATATTTTAATACAATTTTAATTTATCCCCCTGCCTTTCAGTTTACTTTTGCATGTGCTGCCCTCGCCTGTTAAAAGTAATTTTTGTAACTTATGAATTTCCTACCATCCGCAGGTGAAGAGCGAGGCCAAGGCGGTCCATGTCCACAAGTACAAGTCCGTCCAGCGACCTCAGGCCGTGAACAATCGCTTTTTGGCACCACAAGCCCAAGGACCCGTGGGTCTGGCCCTCGATGTGAGTTGGAAACCATCAAGAATATGATGAATGCTTAATCCAGGGTGCTAAAGAAACCACATTCAACAGAAGGCCAAAATAAAGAAATTTATTTGGGATTTTGTTTGAAAAGTTTTTTGTAGAGACCCGGAGTTTTAGATTTCTTAGAAAAATATTTTAAAAGAAAGATATACATATATATATATTTTATAAATAACTTTTTATTTTTATTTTGGAGCTTTAACATATATTATAATACTTACATTAGACTTGCTTAGGCAATAGGCATAGGCTTCGACTGTTAACTTTTTTAAATATTTTAATATATACTTATAAATTAACCAAAAAAAATATCACAAATATTTTATACAATTAAAATTTAATGTTTAAAGCAATAGTTTATTTTTTTTAATTTTATTGACATTTGAAGTAATTTTTTTTCATATGTATTGAACATTATTTTTTGTAGATTTAACATTGTCTCAAGGTTTTTCTTTATAAAGCAAAATATATTAGTGGTTGTTATTAAATGTATATTTTAAAAACATTATAATATTAAATTCCTTTTAAGTTACTAATATTTTTCTCTCCCTTTTTCAGATTCCCATTGGCATTCTGCGATCCCTGCAGCAATCTTTGGGCGCTTTAGCCGGTGGAGTAGTACCTGCAGTTGCAGGTGCAGCTGCTGGTGCAGGTGTAGGTGGAGGTGGAAATGCAGATGCAAATGCAGGTGCAGGTGCTGGTGTAGCTCCCAACGCTCACTAGGCTCAAAAATAACTATAAATATAGTTTTAATATATTTAAGACCCCCTTAATGCATATAACACCCAGTGACAATTTATAAAGCGTTTAAGCAAAAGACAAAACAAACATGATTGAGTAAAAATAAACAACGAACCATGCCATCCCTAAGCTGACAAAGTTTTGCAAACTGAAAAAACAAATAATTTTAAGGCACAGTATATCCAAAACTAATAAACTTTTAAAACTTGAAAATGTAATAAACAACGCTCGATTGCAGCTTAAAAGCAAAACTATTAACACTTTCCATTTATTTGCTACCCAAAAAGTTATTTCGTTACAAGGAAATCCTATTTGCCTTACACTTTCGATTTAATTGATGTGTACTGTAACCTGATTTCTTTGGAATTCTCGCAAATTGGTTTTCAGCTTAATATGTGAACTAATTGAAAGTGTTAAAAGCTGACACATGTTGTATCTGATGTACACCGCTTTTTCTTCTGAAATTCAAGTGAAAATAGAGATGTGTCAAATTTTGGCTTATCCCTGAAAAATGTTGAGAAATAATTAAATGTGTTGTGTTTCATTTGAAAACTACATATATTTCCTGCTAAAAATCAAATGGAGACCTAGGCTTCCGGCTTAACCCTCACTTTTTGCAATGGTCAAAGCACTTATGCTCAACATTTGGTTGCCAAGTGTTTGCCTGCCAGTAAAATTCAACTCTTTCCAGCCCGTTTGTTGTTGATTAAAAGGTTCCCTCGCCATTAAATCAAATGCCACAACACACTGCAGGGAAATGAATTGAAATGGCATCCGCATATGAGGACCAACCACATATTGCCGGCAGGAACAGAGGAAAGTTAGCTGGAAA